AAGACATTATAAGGTATATATACCACTTCCCTAGCGTGCCTTCGCGGTGTAACGGTAGCACGCTTAGCCGGTATTCCAGAGGTCGTGGTTCGATTCCCGGCGAAAGCGGTTGCATATGTTTCATCCTTTCTGCCTCTATAAAAATCCTAATGACTTTACAAGTGGCGCCCGAACTAAAAGGAATGTGGATGATGATTCTCCGCACCCAGGATTTGGCGACTAGGTCCCGTAAAACCCTAGTCGCCCTTTAAAAAGGGGAGTATATAAGGCATTTCTCCCACTTCCCTAGCGTGCCTTCGTGGTGTAACGGTAGCACGCTGGGCCGGTATTCCAGAGGTCAGTGGTTCGATTCCCGGCGAAGGCGGTTGCATATTTTTCATCTTTTCTGCCTTCAAAAAAATCATAATGACTCTACAACATGAACTAAATGTACCCTCAGTGAAAAAATTTATTGTAGGAGCGGGTAAGAAAGCTATAGGAAAAAAAAGAAAAAGAATAAAATAGATACATTAAAGAGCATAAAATATTACATGCATAGATTTTGCTGCATTTCATAACAACGATATTACAAACTGAACATAATCATCGTTAATAACATGATCATAGTTATAATTAATTTCAGTTTTCTAAAATTACAATGACGGCTCATACCATTACGCGTATTTTTATGTGGAACATTATCATGTTTGTTATAGATATTTACCTGGCGTCAAGATACATGCAAATGCGCATTAGAAATTAACATAGAAGAGTACTTAAGACAAATTTGAACGTCCAAAGAAACTATAATACAATACACCTGAAATAAAGGAAATGTATAATAATAAATATTCACAATAAAATGTATAATGACACACTGACCTATATAATAACGCACACTACATCCATAATAACACAAAATAAGCAAATCACATAAAGTACGTAATATTACATAAAACAAAATACATAATACTTATAACATTAGTACAAAATACATAAAATTAAATAAATAATGTATGAAGACATATACTTTTCTTAAAGGTCACAGTTTTACTAACGATAAGAAATTCTGACACATATGTAGCACAGTAATTCACAGCTTTTTCAGTCTTAAGCCGTACAACCTTATTAGAGAGCGCATTCTTTGTGGGAGCCGTCTATTGTTCAGGAGCCGATAATTTGAGATGATTATGCTAAGTAAAGAGACATTTAAATATGTAGTGATCGGGGTTGTTAAGCCCGTCATAGTCATATATGTCAGTGTCACTAAACTCAGATCAGCTTAGATAAGACAGGGAAGGGGCGTGAACTTTTACAAACTAAGTGAGAGTTGCTTCATTAGTTTGCAAATCTGTGTTAATTTTTGGCATCACCCGATGGGTACTCCTGCCTTCACAGATGAATTCTAGAGTTCCTGGTACTGTGAAAGAAGATACTTTCAGGTGGGCTGTTACATAAATGTGACTGGAAATGAAACAGGTCGCTCCAGAAAGGACTCATTGGCCTGGCAGCATTTCTCGCAATGATTTCTGGCTGCTCGAGCAGCTTATATATTTGGATAACTAATGGATTTGGCTTCCTCCTGCTGAGATTGCGGAAAGACAAGAAGCGAGCCACTGTGTTTCACAATTGTATTCTGGGGACTGCATTGCGAATAAGCGGTCGTCGCTATTATTCCTATTAATTCTGTTTGGTACACTGAATTATTGCGACCCAGTCTCTGCTTCTTAAGAAGATGCAATTTGATCTCCGTCTAGATGAAAAAGCCACAAACTATACCTGTATCTGCCATAGAGTTATTTGTATGCAGGGAGGTATCTTGTTGGAGATCTGTCGGTTGTGCAAAGGAGATATTCTTCTGTAAGTTACGATGGGTCGGATGGCAGATATTTTTGTAGTCGGGATGAAAATACGTTCGTTCTACAGATTAAATCGCTAAATTAAGTCTTATGGTTCTCCCCACCGTAGCCTCTCGTTAAACTACGAAGTCAAGTGGAGGATGACCAGCAATGACTTAAAGGGCAGCTGCTGTGGTACGAATGCTCTGCATATGAGTAACAAGTTGCTGTCTTTGTATTGTGAGCAGTTTTCTCCTCATTTGAGAAGTAATTTTACCTCCTCAGATAGGAGCTACATAAAGAATATACGCTCTGTAACTGTTTGATACCATGCCCTCAGTAATGGGTGATGGATGTACGGTATATGGTATTGATAAATCTACTAATTTTATCCTTTAATTAATTCAAATGCGGCATCCATAATGAACGGTTATTAATAGTAACACCCATGTATTTGAATTCAGCAACAGATTTATTAGGCAAGCCCAAAAGTTTTAAATTAGGATTCTATCTTAAAACTTCTTTGCAAATTATTACCATCACCTATGTTTTGTGAGCCGACATTTGTAGCTCATGTTCTTTGTCAACTGTGCAAACTTATCTAGGCATATTTATGCTCTTCTCATCAAGTCGATTCTTCTGCCAACCACCAAAAGAAATTCGTTTGCATAGGCTCTCAGTTTAGCGTATTTCTACATCTCTGGCTTACTGAAATGCCGTATTAGCAACCAGGTTTCATAGGATTGGTCACAGGCATGAACCTTGAGAAAAACCGCGTAACATAAATTTCTTGACAATAAAGTTGTCGAGCATAATTTGCACAGCTCGATCTTGCAGATAACATCATATGCGATCAATTTTGGTACCTGGGTTGATGACATCAGGCTACCAATGCGAGTTGAAAGCTCTTTAATATCCGAAATAATAACGATCAAACGCATATCTGCATTTTTGTTGGCAGTGAGAGTCGAGGTAAGTTCATGCAATGCATGCTCCTTTGACTATCCTATACGGAAGCAATATTGTTAAGGGTGAATTACAGATGTGTTGCGAGGACGAAAATTGAGAATGGAAAGTATAACTCATTCTAGATTTCCAATTGCTAGAAAAAGGCAAACTGGCATATATGGGAAAGGATATGTACGATCCTTATCGCTGTTCAGGAGCAAAGCTACTTCTGAAGTTTCATGTCTCGAGGACATTGACGTAGTCTCCTGAAAACAGCAGAGCAAGGAGAAGTTCCGGAAAAACTTGATCTGTGACATACGAGGCTAGTGTTACTTTCAATATGTCAGCTGCATGTTTCTTTGTAAGCAACCCAAAGGTATCTGCAGTATTAGATCGGAAATTCCTCCAGGAAGCAAGTCTGGCTACTTTAATCCGGTTTTTTACTGAGCTCTATTTTGCGGAATTCTAACATGCGAACCTCCGTAAGCTGTAGTTGGAAGGTAGCTAAAGCTACGTCTGGGTGTTCGTAATAGCAAGATGAAATTCTTGCTGACATAGGCGTAAAACAAAGTATCAAAGTCACGTAGCTGGTTACAGTGTTGAAGGAACAACGATCAGGAACATATGATAAAACAGTAACATTAGAAAGTTAATTAATTTATAATAATAAAATTACGCAACTAGAATACGAGTGCTTTTCGGAATTAGCAGATACAAAAAATATTCATGTAAACTTGAACTTTAGAAAAACTATGAAGCAAAATGCAGGGGCAAAATTTCCACAACTTCCTACTTCTATGATCAGTCTCTCTGCTTTTTTTCCCTGATTTTTATGGCACGAAAATTAAGAGTTAAGAAATTTAATAATTTAATTTCTGAAGGACGCGTTTACAGCGAGAATGAAAAGAGTGAAAGGTATTCATTAATAAAGTACCAGCAACTTATCACAATATTGTTTCTTTAAAAGAAACTTACATTCCAGTCAGAATACATGATAATATTAACATTATCTTCATTTCTGTTTCTCTGTATCTTGAATCTCGCCGTCTTTTATCATTGCCCAATACTAATTCCTAGCTCTGAAATCATTTAACGCTGCTAGAAGTGCTGTTTGTGTTGTCTCCTACAGCCTGCAATCGTGTCCATCGTCATCGTCGCCCTTCATTCTACCTTCTCACATGCAATTATCTTCCGACCCATCAAGAACGTTAGATATTCTTGAAGCTTTTCAATATTATTGTGACGAGATATCAGCGATCGCAGTGTGGACGAAATCGTTTTAAAATTTAAAGAACTCGCTTCCTGAACACCTTGAGGAAAAGGAAAATTACCTGAAGTTAGGGGAGCTAGGGAAAGCTAGCTAGAGGAAAATTACACAAGGAAAGGGAATACTGGAACAAATGCTCTGTGTATCAAAAAAATATCATTTAGGCTCACAAAATTTTGTCAAACTTTCCTACGTATCTTTAAATTTCAGTTAAAAATTGCCTAACGTCAACCCTTTGTGATACCATTAATTACCAATGTCCCCGTAAACTGCATACTCTGCATCTCTGTTTTCGGTCTTATTAGCAATCCTATCGTTTAACTATGTAGAATTAATGACTAAATGCAATGTAAAAAAGCAGCTGAAATCCTAATCCAATTATCCGCTGATAGCTGCAACAACTGGTATTAAAATTATAAAATACAAACAAAACTTTTAAATCCGTTACATATTCAATCTTGTTTGAAACTGTAACTAATTTAAATGTTTTATGTTTGTTTTATAATATGCAGAATTAAAATATAGCAAAATAGTAAACGAGAAATTAAACGAAAAATAGTAAACGAGAAAATATGAAATTATTCAAAATGATAATTACTGTAAAAGCATAGCATGATTTTCAAAAACAATTTTCTATTAAATTGATAGATGGAACCTCTCTAAATTCCGCTTTTCCTATTTGTTTTACATAGAATTGGATAAGAAAAAATAAAAGGCAATTTTTCAAAAATTTCTGATTTGCAAAGTTTCGAAGGCATCCTTCCAAAAATAAAAGTTAATAAGTTAATAGGCAGTATAATTGGCTTCTATTCATACTCTCTAAAGACATAATATTATTTAAATCACAGCTGTTAATTTCTTTATGAAATGCAGTGCAAATGCAAATCTTCACTCAGCTGAAAGGTTACATTAACTAAATGCCAACAGGGTTTTCAAATGTCATTTTCTTTCTTCCTACATATGTTTAGATCATATAAAAAGCTCCAGGAGTTAACGTAACTTTGCTTATCTACGCTTGCTTTAACAATGGCGTTCAGGCAACTGTCATTTGCTCTTGCAATGATCGTGATGCTGCAAACGGCTTCAGCTGTGGTAAGATAAAATTCAACAAGGATTAAAAATAATATAAAATTTTATTTTTTTTAAAAAAATATTGGTTATGTTTGTTTTACCGAGAAAATATCAGCTTAAGAAACCCTAGAAAGCTTTCAGGCTTGAAGTGATATAAACAATTTATTCCTCATGCAATTTTTTGTTGACCAGTAGCTGGGACCTGCTTGAGGCGATTCATATCAGGTTCATGTTCCTTGCACATGCATAAGAAGATTTTAAATTTATGAATGAAAGTCAGTATTTTTTATTACTTTGCAGAAAAATCTAGTATTTACTACCAACTGGAAATTTGCGCAATTGATTGTGAAGTATTTTGCCCTTCTTTTTATGAAACTCTTTTCTCCAAACTATGTACTGCGAATTGTAACATAGGAATAATATTTTTCATATTTCGAAAGAGCGAATTATTACGAATCCGTAAGGGATAAGTATGAGTATAAATGGGTGGGACACCAGAATTTCATCATAGGTTATACAGGTACCGCACTAACTGTGCAGTTCTGCCCCTAATTTTGAAGGAAGGTAACTCCTAAAGGACATGATAATGTAACAACTGAGTAATAAATAAAGAGTATGGATGCTAGAGTCAGTAATTATTATTTGAACCTGTAGAACAGTGGTGTATAACCATTTTGAAATTTCCCCGAAGATTGTTTTACTTTCATTGTCTCAGACCATCATATAAATAAAACAACAACTAGAAAATTATATAAAAAGGACATTTTAAAAGTATATTTATTTTAATTTTTTTAGTATCAGTTACATTTAACAAGTGAAAGTACCAAAAATTTCATTCAGGTGGAAATGTGCAGAGTATTTATTTTTGAAATAAATATTTTACATAATAATCAGGGTTTGAAAGAAAAATATTTATGGAAAGCAATATATGATGGCTTTCTCTCTGCATTCTCAATCTATATCCTGATTTCTAAGGTAAAATGATATTTCTGATAGAACGAAAAATAAGTTATTTAGCTTTGAAAAAGTCTTTTGCTCAGCTTCTTTTCATTTTCTTATTCCAGTGTTTTTAGTGAAAATTTAAAAAAAAGCGCTTTTCTGTGTGTATGTGTTGTTTTACAAGCACAATAATCTATTGATCACGTGTATCATAGGACAGTCAAAGAGTACAACATTTCCTCGTGCATTTTTTGCTCTAGCTTTTTAGTCCTAGGTTCTGAAAAATTTTTAAATATTCGCATAATTTTCCTTTTCCTTTGCTGTACATAGTTTTACCCTGCGAGGACTAGTTTATTGTAAATTGTATTCCCTTAATTATTTTTATTTTATTCAATATATTCATTTTGTATTTGCATTTTTTGTATTAGCATGTCATCCATTTCCTTTTCTCTTGCATTTATTATTTGAAATATATTTTGTGCAGATTCTTCGATAAGCTATTCGGACGTGGCGGGTATTCTCATGCTTCAGAAACTTTCTAAATCTGTTATTTAATCTTACTTCTGTTATTTACGATTGAGCTCATTGTAGCCTTGTCTACTGCTGATGTGCTCCATCCTTCGAAATCAAATCCAGGTCGTTTGTTCGCTCCCTTCTCCTTCGTTTCTTCGATGTCCCTCTTGGGAACTGTGGCCAAGACTTTTAGGGTGCCCCTGTGGATTTAAGCCGAGTGAATCAAGTTCGGCTCAATCGTCGTTAGATATCTGCTCAATATCCATCAGGTTGTTATAATGCTGTTATTATTATATATTGGGTTGGACTATGTATTGGAATGTAGGCCATTTTTTCAAAAAATAACATTCTGATAGTTACCGGTAGTTTATCAATAACAAATGTCTTTCATTATTCTGTGTTTTTATAACAGCTGTTGCAAGCAAAATTAAATTACAATTTTTTATATTCCTTGTGAAGCAAAGTTACTACTCTTCTAAGATGTTAGCAGAAGGTTGTCATAAGGTTTGATTTTGGTATGGGATAGACTGTAAATTATTTTCAGCTGAATGTTTTTATCACTTCGAAAGATCTGAATAATTGTATGATGCTCTTGTGTACATGCCCTGCAGGATATAGTGATGAGGCATGACGAAACTCTATAATTTGGTCTCAAACAATTAAAAAAAGGTTATCTTCGTTACAACGTTCACCAAAATTCCTTTTAAGAAATTTCTCGCATATATACAAAAGGTGTAATAATTGGCAAAGTACACAAGAACCCTGTTTCAGTTTTTATCAGAAGAATTTCCACTAACTGAATTCGAGTTATCTGTCATCATTTGAATGGAATCAAATGTTAGTTTTATAATTCTCAGATTAAATAATTTTCTACACTAAGAAAATTCTAATTCTCTCTAATTATCATATCTGTTGATTAAAATGTCCCAAGCATTTTTGTTAATTAGGAATTTATTAGGGGTTATTTCGAATCGCCTAATAAATCTTCCAGCATCATTCTTCATTTTCCAGATAATGCAATTTTTTAATATCAATGAGATATTCGTTAGATTTAACTGAACTGAAAAATATAATTTAAAACTCAATCAGGATTCAAATTGGCCTGAAAAGTAGGAAGATTACACTCCGAAAGCTTTACATTCACCTAGGATATAGAAGATTTTTAACGTCTTTCATCACTAAAGTTCGATTGTTTATTAATAAAATTTAGATATTTTTCTATTTTTACTAATGATTCGTCGGCAGATTTTCTGAGACTCCGAGAAATTTTTAAACTGAAATTTTTCTATTTTTACTAATGATTCGTCGGCAGATTTTCTGAGACTCCGAGAAATTTTTCAACTGAAATTTTTCGTTAAAATCTTCAAGAATAGAAAATACATAACAAATTCTTCACGCTTGTCACGATAACTATGTAAATTTCTTTGTAGAATGGTTTCTTGCATGAATTTCCTCTAAATCTTCTGATGTTAAAACATCGTCAACAGTTCAAACAAATCTTTCAGTTTGCTTGAGTTCGGTACATTATCGAAATTGGTGATTTCCTTTTCGTGACATCTTGATTTTATTCTAACGAATGAAATTAACTATTACAGATGTCGTTCAAACTTCATATTTAAAAATGTATAATAGAACCACCCTCTTCGGAAATTAAATTATTCGCATAATTTTTTTCCTTCAATTTTCAGATGACAAAATAAATTTAAAATACCCCAAGAAATGCATTATATACAAAATATACCAATTCAATCTCTTTTTTCCTTTTTTCACAAAAATTAACGCTAGATCTGAATGCATGGTTAATAGCTTTATCATAACTGAGCTATACTCCATGTCATCGCTGATGTAATAAGATGAAGTTTTTTAAATAAGAAATAAATTTTTATTCCAAAATCCAACGATTTAACACGTTTTCGACTTTTCAAATTTTAACTTTTGCATTGTAATTCAAACCAACAACAGAAGCTTTCTCTTGAATAACTGAATTTCTTTGAATTTACATACCATTTCCTGGCATTTTGAGATAAATACCTATTTTATGAATAAGAAATAATTTATTTCCAATTATCTCTAACTAAATGATCTAGTTCTAAAATGTACTCCGTATTCAACTATATATTTAGTTAAATGACGACTTAAAATTTAGATTTATTATTACTTTATTTAATGATGACAGAATTATATTTAGAAATTTAGTGATTTTTTTTTAGTCTAAATTTTCCTACCGTTTTCTTTTAGTGTAAAAGCAATGCTTAGAGGTTTCTATTTTTTGTATAATTATGTAATTAAATCTGTATTAAAATTTTTAATTAGATTATTTTAATTTTTTTCTAACTATATGCATTTTTCTTTGAAAAGAGCAAAAGTACAGCCTTCTATTCAAAAATTGTTTACATGTCCAGGTTTCCAATGCAAATGATATTCATCAGAGGATAGTTAAGAATACTAACTTATTATCTCACATTTATTTGTAAGCGTTTTAAATTTTTGTAGCTATTTTTTGTCAAAATTGTTCTAAAATATTTAAATAGGCTCTGTAATAGGAACAAAGGCTGTTTACACTTCGTTAGAATGATTTCAGGGCCTTTTAATTTATGTTAAAAATGTAAAGAGTCATTTTTTAATGTTCGATCTCATAGCCTTTTTCTGGTCGATCTCCTCCGCGGTGGGTTTAAGTTTAGAGAAAGCTCTTTTCAAGAAACCAATGGTACGATAGTGGGTAAGTGTGCAAAACCTGAATGAGCAATGCAGTGGTACTTTTCGAAGTATGTCTTGTTGCTTCGTCTTGATGAAGTTTCGCTCTTGGAAAGTCATTGGAATAAAGAACTGGAATTTTTGCTGTAAATATCGGACGCAAAAGATTTTTTAACAGCTCCTTAGGTTCATTTGGACATTTATCCTTAATTTCCTATTATTTCTGCGAGAATATAAACCCCTTACTAAAACTTTCTTTGCATTGGCGGAACCAAGTTCTTACATTTTTTTCTCTTTGTTGTTTCAGGCATTTACGTAAACCTATATTTCGTCACAACGTATTTCCATTTATCTCTCGTTAAATAGTTTGCATACAGAGTTCTACAAATGGTTCCGCGTTAAGCAACATCCCACGGCAGAAGCTCGTGAAGACTATGTTTCTTAGCTTTTTAAGCTGTAAGTCTTGGCTTATTATTTTATTTATTTTTGCTACAGATGTATTTAAATACTTTGTAATTGAATTCTGAGTCGGCTTATTTTCTGTTATCACTAACAATTTACTTTAAAAGAATATTAGAAACTGTACATATATTTTTCGAGAATTCGCCTGGAGTCTTGTTTCCATGTACAATTAATGATTGAACGTTTTTTTCTTTTTGTTGTTGCTTATTTTGAACTTGGAAATTTCAATACTATGCATTTCGCAATGTTTTGTATTATGAAATAGGTATATTTTTCTTCGGAAAGTGCAGACATGTTTTTGATTTCATATTTTGTTTATATACGGCATTTATTTAAAATGAAGAATATATTTAAATAATACACTGTTCTCTGAAATTTTCATTCCGAAGCATTTAATTTTTTTTTCAATTCTTTATCCAAATCATGCTAAAAATATGTAAACACCCTCTGTAAAATGTGTTGACATACAAAACAGCTGCTAGTTAGGAGAAAATTTTTGTGACCTCTTAATAATAGCTTGTCAGTCTAATGAAAGCGCACAAGAGTTATGCACGCTGCTCTAATTGGAAGAAAGAATTTCCCTTGATCTTCCCCAGATCTCCTTTATGGTTACAGTTGAGAAGATATTCACTCAGCCTGTAAGGTAAATATTAAAATATATCATAAAATACTGTTGGGATCAGAAGATATTGGGATTATTGGCCAACATTTTTAGTCCAGTTTTTACATCTTCTCCAAGTTGAACGCGTTCATGCCAAGTTTTTTTTTTTAACACAGATATAAGCGAAAGTTTGATGGTGATAAGTTAGGTGAATACGGAGTTCGCAAATTTGTTGAAATATTTGGTCAAAAACTCACAGACAACTGCGCATTATCATGGAGCAAAATAAATGAGTTATCTGCCATTCTACGAATTTCATCACGCAATGACAAAAAATTATCAAATAATATTTTTAATTAATTTTTTGTTTTTCTTTCTTTGCCAATTGGTAGGAATTCATGATGTATAATGTTACGGCAGTCGAAGAAAGAAGCCAGCATTACTTTTATTCTTGAATAATTCTGGCGTAATCATTTCGGTGTCGTTTAACTTTTTAAGCCTTATTAGCTTAAACGAAATGGTATCTCAAAATTGTTTAAGAGAAAGCAAAGAATTTAGGAACATGTTCAATAAAATATCTAGTTGTTAAAATTGATCGTTAAGCGTCAAATCTATGATCTGACCACAGTTCATTAGTTAATATGGATGGTCTATCTGAGCATGGTTCTTCTTCGATTCATTTTCTGTCTTCCTTAAACATTTTCCAGCTCTAAAACTAATTTGCTGTCAAACAATGAAGTTCTTACTTTTGATATAATGACGTCCAAAAAAGCTCTTACAATAATTCAAGCATTTCTGTTTCAGAAGTTTCGTTATGGAAGCACAATATAGTGCATGTTCTCTGCTTAATCACATTTACCATTTTCTGGATATAGCAAATACAGAAATATTTATAATGATTTGGTCTTTTTTACTTTCATTTCTTCAATTACCTAAACTCTTACTTTATTTTATTATTTTTATTTTAATTAGCATAAAATATTTGTACTTTTAAGTGTAATGCATATAATCTACATTTTGTCAAATATGACAACAAAAATTTTACGTTTTAATAACTATCACGTAATGAATTCGTTTTTCGTTTCCTCTTTTTAGCTGGAAGAGCTTCAAGAAAGAGGTAAGTTATATTTTCAAACTCTTCCAGTATATAAGAAACTGTTTAAATTCTGAAAATAATTTACTATAACTAAAATAAATATTCTTCTTAGCTACACTGCTAAGATTTCTGTTAAATTTAGATTTTGAACTGGTAGAAAACGTGATAATGTATAATTTTAATACTTGCAGTTGCTAAACTTTAAATATCTGACTTTCATATCTACATAATTTACTTTGCTGATGCACAAAACAAGATTAAAATTAGCTTTCCAGTATGATAATTTAGATTAAAACTATGTACTATTTTAAGATGCATATTAAGTGTTCTTGTATTCAGTAAAATCTGATTTTCAGGTAAAAATATTTTTAATGTATAGATCAGGCCTCGTCAACCACGAGTCACCGAGTGACCCATATCATAATTCCAAATGACCTATTTGAGTTTTGAAAATAAAGTATAGTATATGAAAATAAATTATAAAACGTAAATACGAAATGAGCACTTATAGAATAGATAAAAAATAAACCGAAAATAAATAATAACAATAGCATTTTTGCTCGATTACAAAGTTGCAACAATAAAATGCATTTTTATATCTAAAACGTAAGAACTGTAATATAATTTTAAGAATTATATAAATTTGGCGTTACCATTTTGTCTGCATTCATATCAACTTGTAAATGAGAGCAAATATTTTTACACGTGAAATTTATTTTAAATAAGAACAGGAGAAACTGAACTACCAAAAATTCAGATGCTTGAATTAATCTTAAGAGGACTAACTTATAAAGCAGAGTTTACTAAACATCATAAATTCAACATCAAGGGAACTATTGACATTAAACAGAAAAATAAAGTTCATAGTTATGTTTGTTTTATAAGAATTATAGTTATAATTTTAAATTTGTGCTTAAAGTTTGTAATTGTTTTCTCAATAAAATTCATATTATTATTCACAAAGAAAGAAGACTGATATCACAAGGAAATACCACGGACCAGAAACGTCTACTTAATACATTTTAACTGATTTTGATACCCGCAGCCTAAAAGGTTGCCAACGCCTGGTATCGTTCTACTATAGTTTTGACTTTTAAATTCTGCAGAAGAAAACTTACAATAAAGTATGAGTTCGATAAATGATTTTATTTCTTTATTATAAAGTTATGAATATTTATGATGCAAAAGAGATGGACTTGCAAAAGATAAAATGCATATTTTACCAAATTTAAGTTGAAAGGAGTGTCTAGTTTGAGAGCCTTCAAAGCTTTTATTACATCTAAAGAATGTATGGCTTTAAAAATGCTGTTCAAATATGTAGATAATATTTGTTTTAGTATAAGGTATTCTCTTCTTTCTTACCGCGTGTCTTCTGGGTGAAAATGGAAACTCTTTCAGTTAGCAATTGGAAAAGGTCCAGAGTTCGAATTCCTAGGAAGACATCGCTCATTTCTTCTTTTTCAGTTCTACAGTAGGGTTTGAGCTAAAAGGTGCTGGACGATAATTCATCACCACCAACCAAGATTTGGCGATTGGGTCCTCTTCTCCTTATTCATCCTGTAAATGGAGGAGATTATAAGGAATTTTCTCCTTCTTATCGGGTGCCTTCACAGGGAAATTGAAAATCACGTTCGGCATTAAGAACGTCCAGAGTTCGAGTTCCCGGTGGAACACTGCACATTTTTCATGTATCTTGTTTGAACAAGTCTAATGAATCTTCACCAGAAATTTGGCTGGCCAGTTCTTATGTCGAACAGATCATATATATAGCGTCTGAAGATATTTTAAAGCTATCCCGCTATATAATACATAATTATCGATGCAAAAATTATCATCATTTAATATATCAATTTTGTTTTAATATAAAATTAAACACTCAGAGAGACAACATGAAAAAACAAGCAAATAAAGATGAAAATTTATGAACATTAAATGAAATTAATGAACTCTGCAATGAATGAATTTGTATTTAATTATTATTACAACCTAAAATTTATTGGTGATATTAACCTTCAGCAGATTCAAGCCCTAATGAAATAGAAAGAGTGATTGGAGGAACAAGTGCGGAGCAAGGAATGTTTCCATGGACAGTAAGATAAAGTTCACTTTCAAAACCCCATTGTTTTGTTAAAAAAAATATTAATGTACTATGATGTTAAACAGATTACAATATATCTGTCAATCATAATAATTTTTTAATAATCAATCTTTATTATAAATTTTAAGGAAGTAGTTTTCATGCCTTACGTAGAAATATAATTTGATAGTCATAAATGAAAGATTTCCCCTTAACAGCATTCCTTAACAGTAATTTTATTTGTAACTTACTCATCAAATAATAGTACCTAATTGCGAAATTCTGCTGACTATGGTGAAGTCAAACCATTTGTTACATTCATTTTATCAGGTTTTACGTGTAGAATACCTGATATGATAGATATACAATATACCTGATATGATAGATATACACAATATAGATATACAATTTGCCTTTGCTGTTTTAGGTTCTCAGGCAAGATATTTATCGTATGGACATACTTAAATCCTCTTTTCCTTTTAAAATGACAGTGGGCCCATTAGTGGCTAATTACAAGAAAATACTATGTATTATCCTCCTTCGGGGAATATAAGTAAATCCCCTGAAGCCGTTATTAGAAACTGTATACAAAGGAAATCCACCATAATTCTTATAAATTTGTGGTACTGATTCCAAAGATTTGATTAAACCTTCAACTACAGGAGTGAAAATGATGAAGGATGTGTTTATGCGATACCAATAAAAAAATCGATTAGAAAATTCGAGAAAAATATTCCATCAAAAAACGAAAAAACAGGTATTGCAGTCATACTCTGAAACAAGTTTACATTATGAGGATTTTGAAAGAACTATGGTTTCTTCCATATGCCAGATATTTTTTTAACCTACCGTAAACACAATCTTCAACATAAGTAAGACCCATATACCTTGACATAACACAAAATGACTAAATTTTCGTTTATATCATTTTCAAATATAGATGTAATCAAAATCATAGATCTTATTATATATTTATGGCCCTTGTTCCAACTTGAAGCAATCTTTTCCAGTCCTTTCATTAATTTTATTATTTATATTACCACACCTTAATTTAATTTACATGTTTTAATGTATCTAACACGTTGAGGATTTCAAAATGCTTCATGAATAAACATTTTCTTCAAAGGCTGGTTGAAGATTCATGGTTTTAATTTAACAAATGAACCAAATGATGTTAAACCCTACAGTTTTAATTGCATGAGTTCGTTCAGTAAACTGCAGGTGTAACAAAAGCTTTTTAGCTTTTACGGAACTGTTACGAAAAGAGTTTCTATCAGTAAATCGTTCTTTAACTTTTTGCCGTGGGCTATAGGGACCAATGTTTTAACGCCATTTAGTCAGCTATTTTTACAGGAAGGAGCAGAAAAGTAAATCAACAGGGCCTTACACTTCCTACTACATATTAAAGAGTAAATTTTAAATCTCCATACTTTACTGAAATTTCTTGAGACATAATTAAAGTAATGAACCTGAGAGACATATATATGTCCCAGCCTCCTGAAAAGGGAAGGTAGTTTGGAGTAGAAACTTCCCTTAATGTGCAGAATGTGTCCTTAAAATCATGTATGAATTAAACCATAAACGACTTCAGCCATTTCCAACTTTAACATTCCTACAAAAAGGTATTTTTAATCAACCTTTATGTAAATATGTTTCAAGCGTAAACATATTCATTTGCAAACTTAACATTTAAACTTGTCATTAACAAAATTTTTGTGTATTTCCTAAAATTTTTAATTTATGTTGCATCAGATAATTTTAATCACGTGAAAACGAGCAAAGTTTTATTTCAATAATTCAGCTGTAAAAAATAATTTAATCTTCTCTCCTCTTTTTAATACTTTCTTAAATTAATATAATGAATTTGAGGAAATAATACAATCGACTGAAATAAATTAGACAAAGAATAATTTTTTTTTTTTTTTTTTTTTTTTTTTTTGCTTTTGCGTCTTTCGGTCCACTTTTTAGATTACATATTCAACATTTAATTTTATATTAATCTTTATTGTTTTTAAACCTGTATTTGAAGTATTTTGTCCTTTTCTTATTTTTAATATTAAATTGTTATTAGTATTTATTAGCATTAAACCCTCTAATTATATTATTCACGTTAATGTCACATTACTCCCTATTTTAAATACAGGTTGCACTGTACTACAACAACCAGTTTATATGTACAGCCTCCATAATTTCCCCGACTACAGTCCTAACAGCTGCTCATTGCGTAGTTTTGTAAGTATTAAAATTTCAATAAAGATTTTAATACTCTATAACTGCATTTCTTTATGCAAAATTTATTCTCAGGATTGTCATACTTTGGGTGTATTTTTTGAGTATTTTCAGTAACAAGAGCTAATCCACGCTTTTCCATATCATACATTTATTTGAAAATGTGGATTTATATATTTCATATTTAACGGTTACTTCGATTAATATTATTCACCAGCTATAAGGATATGAAGATATTTACGTCTTATCGCAATCATTTTAGTAAAAATCGTCGAAGTTTCAAAAAGTGTCAGATTCTAGCAGTTTCACGCCACGCATCATAATTCTTCAGAAAATTATGTGATTAATAATTCTTCAGTCTCAACAAACGCGTTGCCGTTTTCGTATGCATTCTCTTTTTTTTTTTTTTTTTTTTTTGTTGTATTCCAAAGGTTTTGCAGACAAATTGTAATGTTTTTTCCTTTAAAATCAGTTTTAAAGTACGCGTTTATACAATTTGCCTGCAGTGGAAGAAACAGCAAAATTTTGCAACAAAATTGCCAAGAGAAAAATTGCTTTGAGTCTTACTAAAGCGATAGCTACAAAATTTTCACCACAACAAACGACAAAAAAGCCCATTGTAAGTAGGTTTATTGATTACTTTTTAGTTAAACATGTAGTTAAAGCGTAAAATACAATTGTAATAATATATAATAATATATTTGTGTGAAATAAATATTGTTCACTATTATAGGGGATGATTATTTTTCTTTCGTAAAATTTGCCCAACTGTGCTAAGGTGGTTCCGTTAATACATAAGTATGCAGATATAAATATCATTCAGAAACATTTTTGATTTTTTCATGCATTTTCTTATTTCTTTTAAAATGCTTATCTTTATTACTATCTACGAAAACAGCGGTAAGTATTATGCGGTAAAGATAGTCAAACAAACGTTTATTTCTAATTTAGAAAGTCTCAAATGAGTTGCTGACTTTTTATGAAGCTGCGTATAATTAGTTATAAGTACCATAAATTGCGATCAGTATGCCGAATCTTGTTTGATATGTCACAAACATCAGTATCTTAGATTAAGCAGCAGCCCTGTTGAAGCCGATCATCTACTAGAATTACTGAAATTATATTTAAATAATATTATCGGGTTGCTTTTTTCTCGTTGTTAAAAATTTAAGAGGCAAGTCTCCAGTATTTTATATTATAATTCCATAAGAATTTGAACACTGTGTCACAAACTTTAGTGCTTTTTATTTTTACTAATATTTGTTTGCAACAATTCTTTCTAAAAGAATACATTCGTTCAACTATTTTCGATACCCCATTCTCTTATCTACAAAACTCATTCGCAAAATAATTTGTGAAAAGCTAAAACCTTCTACACATTTAAAACTGTATTTCTTTTTATTGCTTCCTGCAAAACCGTTTCTAGATTATCGAATATTTTTCCCTTTTGTTCTTTCTAATGAAGCTCATGATCTTGTAGTACCTGATATCCATGCAAAGATATATAAACATACATGCACTTGAATTCAAACATCGGGGGGCGTATGCACTTTTTAGAGTTCTCTTTATTTAAAAAATAAAGAGAACTCTAAAAAATGAATTAATTTAAACTTTTTGCTTTAGCAAAATGCCGTAGTTTATACGTGTATATATATAAACTATGACTGCAATCTATGAAGAGACAGGGAGAGAGAAGAAGATTAAAAAAGTAAGTTGTTTTTGTGTTTCAGTGAAAGGGGTTAAACTTGAAAAACCTAAAAACGCGTGCTCTTAAGAATAAAAAATTAAAGTAAATTAAATTAAGTCTTTCATGTGTGTAGAATAAAAGAGTAACAGACACAAAACCAAGTTAATTCACCAAACCCAAATTAAAGTATTGCCCAGTATGACATTAGTGTTTGAAAAAAAAATGCAGAAGCATGTATCTGAAAATGCGTAAATGCCGTATATAAACTAAAAGGTGAGAATCTGAGTATATTCTTAAGGACTGAGGTGTTAAAATAACCAAATGTTAAAATTGATTAAATGTAAAGTTCGACTTAAAATAACGGAATATAGTCCCTAAAAGTTAGAAAAGGGATAATAGGATTTAAGCCTGAGTGAGATCAAAATTTTGTATATATTCAGATGATGCAATCTCGAAACGATAAAACTATACAAAAGAATATTGCATGGTTGCATGGGTTATTTATTTCAACAAGAGAACTAGTTACAGTTCTTCGATTCGATTTGTGAAGTAAATTTGTGGTTTTGCTGTAGACTTTAGCGAACAATCAAATAATAAAATTAATTAAATTTATTAATTTATGTTCTGTGAACTTATAATCTCCCTCGAAAGTTTTACTATTGAAAATATATTGCTCTTCTGCTATTTTCCCCCTAGAGAAGAACAATTACAGAGTGCAGATCTCTTCTATGGAATCGCTGGAAATGTAAACAAAAGTTCTCCTATGGTTCGTCTTAATTTTAGAAGCGTCACTCCGCATCCTGATTACGGAAATCTGCAGAACGATGTCGCTATTTTCAAAACTGTAGACGAAATTCCGTTGGGCGAGAATATTTCCCCAATCTGCATTGCAGGGCCAGACGCAGGTTCTTTAGACTATAAAAGAGTAACAGCCATGGGATGGGGTACCACAAGCCGAAGCAGAAGTATGTGTAATTTGTTTTTGCTAATTTAAATATTAAAAAATAATACGTTATGTATATTAAAAATTTCTTTATTTACAATCAGTTTTTAGTAAACGAAATATTTGGAAATGGAATATATAAATTAATTTTAATAATTTTAGTCCTTCTCAAAGGTCTCCTTTCACGAAGATTTAATTTGTGAAAGCAATAACAGCACTGTACGCTTCAGTGTAGGGTCATTGAGTGCTATGTTTTCTCATTTGAATTCAGCTTTATCAATCAAATAATATTATTCTATTATAGAAAATGGCTTTAAAAGCAATGGCATATCTAAAGCTACTAAGATCTTGGTTGGAAATCTCCTTAGAACCCCCTCCCCTTATTGGAATGATCACCACATCAATTGTCAACACAAATATATAATTAACATTTATTTGAGAATTTTGATACTAAATTAAAAACGACTTACATCTATTCTGCCATCTTTGATGGTTTAAGAAAATATTTCTAACTTTTATGTCAATCAAAAAAGCTAAAAATGCTTTTTGCGAACTTTGAATCCTGATTTTTTTTTTATAGTTTCATCAATATTAATGTTTTTATCTGTTGCATTTTCAATTGAAAGGATTTTCAAACGGCTAAGTCTTACTTGGATCATTATTGATCGAAAATAGCTTTTAATCATATTTAACTTTTCTCTCATAATAAACTTTAACAGTTTCGATGCAGACCACCTTTTAGCTTCAATCCCCACACATAGGTGCATATACTTAATTTAAGGTTCTTTGGAAACCCGCCTGATCAGAGGTTCGGAGTGATCCGACATCCCCTCCCTTCGGTAAGCCCCTGTTTAAAAGCGAAAATCTATTAATAGCATCCAATTTGATTGCATGAAGCAAAGAATAATTTCATATGTGTTACATTTTGATTAACAAAAAATGCTAAATGTTTTATATTGAAAATTTCTTTATGAAATTATTCCACTTAATCAGTTTTAAAGGAGCATACATGTTATACGTTTTTTAATCTATTTTGGCATCTTACGCTAAATAATCAAATGAACATAATAAACAGGACAGTGCAATATTTAAAATACATAGTAGAACATAACAGGACGAGGATTTTAAGCATTGCATTATTAAGCGAATTATCGATGAATCGATACTCATTCTCTACAAGAAATAGTGAAGACTTATCACTGTTGCAATTTTTTCTTTTAGTTTGCTGAACGTATCAGTATATTGCTTTCTATTTTGTGATATGCTGCCTGAGCAACTTAATGAAAATTTTAGAAGGTATTAAATTTCATTAAACAACAAAATTTAATTTTTAATAAAACGTACAATACTATATTCTCTATAATATTTTTAAGCTCAATTCCAGTTACGAAATTTTGTTAAGTATTACTTCTGAATAATCAATATTTCATTTTTCCAAAAAAAGTTCAGTTAACCCCTGGAAGAACTACTGTAACCCTTTTAGGCAAGAAATTTCTAATAAAATGTTTAGTTCTGCCTCCAGCGCTCCAGTCACATGAAAAACCAATATATAGTACATTATAATTCCATTTGGTATATTAAATGATTACAATTGAAATGTTACATTAAAAATTTGGCAGAAATTCCATGAAATATGTTATGATTTACTTTGCCGAGGAAACGTACAATACTATATGCTCTATAATATTTTTAAACTCAATTCCAGTTGCAAAATTTTGTTAAGTATTACTTCTGAATAATCAGCATTTCATTTTCCCAAAAACGTTCATTTAATCCTTGGAAGAATTAATGTAACATTGCTATTTTCCTCAAAGCTGGAGACGTGCACTGATAGTGCGTACTCCAAAACCTGGCAAGTACTACTCAAATCCTCAAAATTACAGACCCATCACCTTCCTATCTTCATTATCAAAGATTTATGAATTTATCTTACTCAAACGCCTGAATAATTTCCACCGGAGCCAGAAACTCCTTATTGACGAGCAATTTGGTTTCCGAGCAAAATACTGCACAATGCAACAGCTTCTTAGGACAGTGGAATTCATTCTCTAAGGCGTTTGTAGCAAAATGCTTACCGGCGCACCTTTTCTTTATATCGCCAAAACATTTGATAGGACTTCGAATATGGGTGTTATTATCAAGTTCATGCGATTTGATCTTCGGCTCAACTTATTCACGTAATTAACTCATTCCTCAATAATTGTTCTTTCTCTGTACAAGTTAATTCTATCATTTCGGCACCCCGTCCAATAAAAAGTGAAGTCTCCCAATGTAGTCTTTTAGGAACGACCCTGTTTAACCCTGTTGTTGCAGTAGCCGCAATAAATTGGAATTTGGAACCTTGAAGGACGGACGTTTCACATGCCACTCTGCCATAAAATTGCTTTCTTACCTCAATTTCTACTGATCATCATGGGCAGAGGCCTCAATTGCGTTGTTATCAATCTGCTGGCTTAAAAATCACATCTTCCCCGCAGTTTAAATTTCTGCCTTTATTACATTATGATTTAGCTTCATTGACCAATGAGCCTATTAATCATTAATCGCTTTCCAATCCGCTTTTTTAGTGTTGTACTGTGTATGAAAAATTTTAAAAAAATACCAAAATATAAGAAAAAATAAAATAAAAATCTGAAAGCTTTCAGATTTTACATTACGCCCAAAGAGGCGTTTTTTTAACGTTTCTTGGGTTACCGTTATTTATTAAATATCATGTTCTTCGCACTTAAACCGTAAAATTCAATTCAACAGGAATGTCACAAAATAATGTTTAAATGAGCATATCTTAACATTTTCCGATACACAATCTCGCGCCCTGAGAATAAAAATGTTTTTCTTTTTTTTCGTACAGTGGTGCCCTTGCTCCCTTTGAAATCGTTAAGTTTGTTAATCAAAAATACTTTAATATCTGACAAAATATGAAATAGACAATAAAACATATTCTAAATTCCAAATAAGGCCTTCAGATACCAGCTATTCGGTGGAGGATTACATTATTCAAAATTTGATGGCTCTAGGTAGCGTTGTTTCATCACAATGCGAGAAACATACATACATTTATGCAGATTCTTCATTATTTAATTTCTTTAAATATAATACCGGGGGGATAATATTTGGTGGCAACAATCTGAAGAGTAATTTAGACTTTTAAAGTTTTCAATGCAAAATGACAAAACGAAATTAATAGACCTTCTGAGCTAACGCCCTTTGAGCTAAAAATTATAATATATATGTATATAAATTAAAAGCCGTTTAAGAAAAATCAAAACATATCATTTCAATGATTTTTCCAATACTTAATCTTTTTCGAGTCACGTGGCTCCCTCTAGATGTTTCCTTTTTATCTGTTTTTATATAATTTTCCTATTTCTGCTCTCTAGCTATATATTCTGTTGTGAAGGCAAGACGTATTCAGTCAGAACATTTTATCTGGCACTACACGCCCTGTTCCACCTCTAAAATCCTCTGTAATAGGCGGGAAGAAGGCAAAAATTGGCCACCTTCGTGACTATAGTAACTCCTCTCTGCCGCTAGTCCCATATTTACAAGCGACAGTTTATATTTTACCACTTCCCAACAAATCCGACCGGGCCCGCGGAGACAGCACTCTCATTTCTCGATCTCATGGAAGGGTGCTGCACGAATCCGGGGGCAGTTTCCTGCTACACCCGCAGGTCACGGGAAACCGCCAAGCTCAATGATTATATGTCTCCGTAGCCAAGACTGCCTAGGTAAAGATCGTAGCCAGTGATGTGGAGGTAAATAATTTTGAACTATAGGTAGTCCGTAATACATAATCCTTGATCTCGCTCTCTTTTATAATCGCTTTAGCCGCTTTTGTTTCTGGCACTTTTTTTGGGGGGGGGATGCTCTTTTCTTTGTTTGCTATGTCTTTTTCATCGTGATGTGATTACATAATCTAAATTGTGTGAGGCAGATTGATCCCATTCTGCTTCAAAACGTGAGCGACATGATTATTTCTTAAATTTAAGAATAAAAAATTACTGTTTAAGTGATGCTTATTTCCTTCAGGCGTTTTTTATAACTCCAAAATGATGTTTGCCATTTTACACTCTGTATCTGAAACCAGTCTCTCAGCCATATTTTTCTAAGCGATTCACTTTCAATTCCATTTGCCAACTGCAGTGTGTATTCTCGTACCCTGTCAGAATTATTACATATATATATGTAGTATATTAAACTTACCATTCACAAAAAAAAAATTTCTGTGAATTGAATTTTATGGTTTAAGTATTAAAATTCATTGAAAATGTAAAACTTTAATAAGAAATGTGATTTTAATTATGACTGAAAATATATGAATCCGTACACATTATACACCAAATGGAAAGGAAATCATTATTTCATTCTAATTTTACACATGAAATCTTTTCGTATTATTTTAGGTAATAATGTAAATAGAAATAAAACATATTCAATGAATTAGTTTAGAATTTTATTTATGCAATCCGTACGTTATTCAAAATAGTTTTTGAATTTAGTTTCGAACTTCGGAATTCCTTGAGGAATTGCGTGGAGCTTCAGGGTTCATGTTATTTAATGTTTTTAACCTCTGTATTATTGCTTCTTTCGAATGAAATGAAACTATAAGAAAGCTCTTTTATATTTTGTTTTCAGTCGCTCAACCAATACCTGATATCCTGCAATTTGTTCATCAGAGAGTAGTACCAAACAATCAGTGTTCTCTCCTCTTCTATTTTGGCCAGTTAGCAGATACCGGTCTGTGTGCTGGAGGCCTTTTTAGGGGCATCTGTAACGTAAGTAATTTTTATACCAAAGCACTCAAATTAAAAGAAATTTAATAAATTCATAAACAACTGAGCGTCACAAACATAAATTAACACTTAATTTAGTATTCAGTGATATAATCTTGCAATATAATATCCTGAAAACATTCGCTTATTTTTCATAAAATTTATTAAAATTAAGTGTTACTTTTAATATAAAGTAGCACTGCTCCAAAATTATGTTTCAAGTACTCCAATTTCTTTAATAGTTTAAAAGTATTTGGTTAAAAGAATTGAAATTTCTAATGTTACTTTCAAATTGCTTCCTTTATTTTATTTTCGTAAATCTTCCATATACCGTTCTTATGATTACAGTATACGAAAATTAGAACCTTAAATCAGTAAAAAAGAAAGTAAACAAAATTAAAGTAAGTTTAAAAATGAAGGTTGTAAATGTTATATGAATACAATACGAATAAATGTAGATTTTCTTAGCCCTCACAAGCTAAAAATAAAATGGACGAGAAATCTCATTCTAGAGACTCATTATTACGTAGATATATCCAAACGTTTCTAGCCTAATATACTTCTCAAAGATATAGACAAAATTTTAATAATTTATTTTTTAATACGATCTTCTTATAACTGAAAGGTTTTTCGGGTAATTTAATGATTAGCTACATGCCCTTGAAAAATAAAACCTGAAGATTTTCTCTTGAAATATCCCACATCTACGCTTTTCACGCCATCATTGTCATTAAAATTCTTCCCACGTAGGTTTGATTTCAGTTTGGAGAACAGGTAATAATAACTTGGAGCTACGTCAGGAATTTAAGGAGGTGATTATGCTTCTTAAATACACACTGATATTTCTGAATTGCATTGGCACCTGCTGCTTTTTGAATTACTGAAAGAACTCGGGATATCCATTTGGTAAAGACTTTGTTCATATGGAAGTTTTCGTATGGAATTAGCAAAACAGTCTTTTGACAGATGCAGTCTTGCAACAATCACCTTGACTTTTAATCTCCTATCTCTCGATATCACCTTCTAGACACGAGCAATATTTTCTGATGTCAATGCCTCCAGTTGTTGGCCTTCAAGAGAATCAACTGTCCGGAATTGTTTTACCCACTCTTTCATTTATAGAATAGGAAAAAGACGAATCGAAGCATGATCAAAGCCTTAATTAATTTACTTGGGATAAAGATATTTTCAATTAAAATTTAATCATTTAATGATGTCGAAAACTTAAATCTACCTACATATCAAAAATAAATGTAAACTGAGTTAAAGAATTTCAGCTGCATGATGTCCTTTATGTACAAAGGTACTGTGCCTCTACGATCCAAATTATGGATAATAATAAGGGAAGTCTGAAGAAACACCACTTTAACATACCAGTATTTACAAAATATTTCATAGTACAGCTTTACTAGACTACAAAACTTCAAAAATATGTCACAGCTATCAGAATTTGCTGCATTTGTCGATTCTCATTCAGCTCGTTCTGGAAAGATCTCTCGAATCATAAAAATGCATTGAAGATATTTGACACCGTTGAACGTTTCTGTGACTCAACATATTGCCCGTCAGAAGTGAGCTGGAGTTAGAAAAAGGGGGAACACAATACATGACTGGCACACTTACAGTTATAGTTTTACAAATTAAGAATTTCGTTCCATTGGTAACGTTCCTGTACTTTGATCTTCATTTGGAGGTTTAAATTTCCAAAAAATGTCCGAATCATATAACAGAAACATCGGTAGCAGTAAAGGCAGTTACTTCATAAAATCAAATTGCGAAATGTTTTCAGTCTTTTATGAAAATTAGGTAGCGAATGTAAACATCTTCCCTTCTACACCAAAATAAGATGACATTTCGATCGAAATTTGTTTACCAGTTTTATTACTTCCTAAACTTGGCTTCCAACCTAAATCTTCAGCCTTTTTTTTGCCGAAAAGCTGACTGAGAGTGAATGACCGAGCTATGTTCTTACTACTAAAATTATAATATTATTTTACCTGCCCTTAAAAATCCACCAAATCACTAATCTTTAATCTTCTGTTCTCTTAATAACAAGTTGGATTCTATTTCTTAGCTTTTAATAACGTTTCGTAAAACCGTATAATCTGTTTTTTTACTTTTTTAATAATCGTGTTAAATCTACTGAACAGTAAATACTTATATTAGAAATTAAAATTTCAAGTATTATCTCAATTCAATCTTATAACAATATCAGTATTTAAACAAAACAGATAAAACGTAAATCAGTATTATCGCTCACTTACTACTGTGAAAATTTTAGTAACAATGTAGTAGCTGGAAGTAGTACATTTTCTATGATAAATTTCAAATATAGCATAGAAAAGTCTTTAAATTCTTGGAATTGAAACTAATCATAATTATAGCATGGTACCATTATCTGCAGGGTCATATTAGGAATTTCAAATTCATACAATATACATATTTGTTGATTTCCACTCATATTCAAATTAGTATTTGCTGATAATTTAAACAAATTCCTAATATAACGCAGTAATGATTATAATCATTGCAAAATAGTCTGAATATCAGGAAAAATCATTATATGAAAGGTTTACAGAACTTACTTATATAACTTGTTCAACAACACATAGCTATTAATATTGATGTCAGTCAGTCGGAATGGCTAAGGATAAGGCGAGTGGATAAATTATGCATTTTAAATAGACTAAACGTTTTCTCGTATGACATATTAAAATATTATTTCGCAGTTTGTTTCATGTGTTTTATTATGAAGATTCTAAGATTATAAATTTTCAAATAGAAAGATATTTCGTCAAAATTGAAATTCGTTAAAAGAAGAGGTAGGAAGAAAACCAAAAGTACTGGAAAGGAATATGTTTTCAAATACCATATTTAGACATGTTAGACGTAAGAATGAAGAAATAGTGATCAGAGTTCCAAGCTTCAAAATCATAACGAAATTTAAATTGCATTAACAAATATTTTATTCGGCACAAGAGAAAATAGATACTCTATCAGGACTACTATTCCTTCTGATTGCGTTTGTAAACATAACTGGAGTCCTGAGTAGGTCAGGGAGTTTACTAAAAACTATGTTTGTGCGTGTGTAGAAGATATCAGAAAAGTAGGAAGGCTTAAATTACCATTTATTTCCAACAGCATACAGCCGATGCCGCACTTCGGGATACACAGGGCAGCACTTACGATCTGAAACTTAAAAAGTAAGAAGAAACTAACTTAATTAAAGAAGAACTAAGATACTTTACAAAGACTAGTAACGCGAAGATTGGCCTTTTAAACTCGTATGTAGTGAGCAAAATGAGGAAAATTACAATACGTCTTCAAGTATCAAGAGAACTAAGTTCTGGCCTTAAAGGCAGACAGGAACTGACTGAAGAGTGCGCGCGAGGTAAGGTAGCGAGATGTCTCTCTCTCTCTCTTTTGGCTAAAGGCCACAACTTAAATAACAGTTTGCAGGCTCAATTTGCATAACCTAATCTGTTCTCGTTTATTCCGGGCGGAAATGGAAGATAAGAGAGGTTAGTAATTAATTAGTTTTAAAATAAAATAAAGGTTAGTAAAACTTAAAATCCTTACAACGCTTCTATCATTCTGTTATTCAGTGCTTATTTCAATCGCTATCTTGTGAAGAAAATGATGCAAATGTGCAGTTTGAAGGGCCTATTAATACGAAGAAAGATACTTTTACCTCTAAGGTTAAGTGCAATATGAAAGAAATTGAACTAGCATTGTGATGTCGATAATCAAACGAGCATTCTCGCTAAATTATCTGGTTGAATAACGATAGTGCAGTGCCTAGGGTAATACAGGGAGGTGTACTCATTTCTGAACGAGCATTTCACAGTTAATTTAACCCCAGTCTAGGTTTGAAAATTGTCGAAAGAAATGTCATTTGTGTTGCGCAGACAAAATCGCATCTGAAACTTGATGCGCATGTTTTCCAATGCAGGTTTCAAGCCGAGAACTAAAGCTGATCTACATAAGCTCGGACGGGTAAAGGTAAAAGTAGGCAGGACATCAGAACTTCTCCATTGCTCTTTCAGATATAATCTCACTATAATAACTGTGCATCTCCGCCCCAACAGAGGGAAAGCACCTAACAGGCAGTTCGAAATTCTTCCGTCCCTGTTTCCGTACTATCAACCTCTCAATAAGAATCTCCATGTGTTTGAGAGCCCTCTTGTCGCACAGACACTACGCGCTTATGAAATCTATGCCTTTTCCAGTCCAACATGGGAGCATAGTTACGGCAATCAGCATCACTAACCATTATACCGACTAGACGACCATGCATTTAGACAGACAATTTTATATGCATACAGTTTAACATCGATTTTCAAAATTTTCTTAACCGATTCTTGCCTCCAAAGTAATGCTGATGAGTGGTAGGAAACCACGGAGGAATTCTGCTTTCACTTTCACCACATTCTACATAATAACTGAAATAAATGTAAAATTTATGCCATTAGTTCATGTACATTTCTCAACAACAATTATACAGTTTGAAGTTATATTAACTGCGTAATATTCATTCAAAAATGACTGAACTCTCCCGTGTCACCCTGTATTAGAAGCATTATTCAAAGAGTGACTCCAACCACCCTTAAAACAAGGAAACGAAGACACAACTTATCACCATCAAGCATGTCTTTAGTGACATCGAGAAAGATACTGCAACTAGGAATAATTATGATTTGAGACAGTCAAAGAGGAAAGTAAATTCTATGTATAATTTATAGCAGTCTTACAGCTTCTGCAGAAATCCTTTAAACAGGCTTTTCAAACATTCGCGCATAAATTAATATGCAAGACTGATTACAAATATTACAGAATGTTATGATTTGGCATGATATTATTATATAGTTTGACCGCCTCATCCGCGACCATGAGCGCAAACACGCATGCGCCATTCGGACCGAATTATTCTCAAAATAGGGTGGAAGGATGGGAACTTTCTTTCCCTCCACTCGCTGTTTCAGGAAAAGAGAAGACTTTCACGTGACTTTTATGTCGCAACAGGTAATAACGCCCCTTTTGGACGAGTCTATGTATTTTGGCAGAATGCCAGCCAGGGTTGCGTTTGAGACGGTCGAACTATAGTAATAATTCCTCATTAGTTGCAACTTTCATTTGTCTTTGACGTTTATGTAGGGTACCTTTACCACGAAGTGAGAATGTGGCCTTTTAGTTGAACGGTGTCGCTCTTATACATCCAGGCTAAGCAAATACAGTTCAATTTGGATTTTAAGTCTTTGGCATTAGTTAAATGTGTAAGGAATTAGACTAAACATAAAAGCTTTTATCACTGCAGAAACGAAATTATACATTGCACAAAGTAGTTTATTATTTATAAATTATGCTCTGGGCAAAATAGCCATATTTCTAAATTTTATTGCCCAAACTATGAATCACTATGAACTTATATCCTTAACATACATTTGATTCCTAATCTTGCTGTTGTTATTTCTAAAATGATGAATTTTTAAGCGCCGTGCGTTTAGTCGCCTTTCGACCTAAATATCTTATTGTATTCATTTTTTTTAGGGTGATTCAGGTGGACCTTTAGTTTATTTCCCAAGCGGACAGGATCCAGTTGAAGTTGGAATTGCCTCCTATATCAATGCATTGGTTGGCTGCGGTTTTATCGGTCCAGCTGTATTTACACGTGTCAGTTCCTATTATGATTTTATAATGCAGACAGCTGGTGATGGTCAAGTTTGCACAGTGTCAGTTCCCTGAATATTGATTAAGCAGAATTAGTTATACCTACAAGAAGCAAAAATGCGAAGAAAATAGTTTTCCAAGAATTAAACATATAACAAAAACTAAAATAAAAATAAAATTCAATGCCCTTTTACAGCATTATACTGAAAAGGAATTGTAGAATTTCAGAAATTAATTTGTGTAATTGCGAAATAAATTGACTGACTATTTAAATTTACTGATGTGATAAATTACTTGCGTGATTTGCGAGAAATATTTTGGGCGCTTTAGACTATTTATTAAGTAAACGTATTAAGTACTTTAATTTACTTTTTTTCTAATTTCTCTACTCACTTAAAAAATACAAGCGATACAAGTACACAAACAAATATCATGTTTTTAACGCCTTTACTCACTATTTTAACTCAATTATCTTTATTCATAAATGAACATCTTTGGAAAAGAAAAACGGTATTTTATTCGATTTACTATGATTTAAATTTGATGAGAATTGGCTTCGTGAATAGAATACATTAAAATTAGATGCATACGTTTAATGTCGAATGTTACATTAAACTGAGGGAATGTTCATATTTTGTTTAATGAATTCAAACGTTTTGTTCAATGAACGCAAATTTTTAAGATAACTGAAGGTGCTAAAGATAAATTTATAAGAAACTGGTTTTTTATAAAAAAAATTTTAATTCTCTATCTGCTGAATACACTTTACAGTGTAAAAGCCAAAACTTCTTGGTATGAAAAAAGTATTGTATGTACTTAAATGGTTATTTAAATTAAGATTTTTATATAGGAAGTTAATGTTATGGAGAAAAATAAATGCTGGCAAATAAGAGCGATTTTCATTCCCTTAGGTAACAGCATAAATTAAAATTTGCACAAGTTCTTACATTAGTAGTAAGCAGCCAAGAAATGCTCAAACTTTTTTAGTTCTTCCAGGACAAGTGAACTAGAACTTATTTCCTGTTTCGTTAGACAGAAACTCAGTTTTTCCATCTTAATTTTATCATGATCATTTAACATAAAAATGAAAATCATGTTGCTACAGAGAAGTATTTATTATAACCAAAGACTCTAATTACTTCACAAAGTAACTAATCAAGACGTTTTACCATTTGCCAACTCAGATTGTAAAACTTCAGAATGCAAAATAATTTTCAGGCTTTAGTAGACCTGTTATACGTTTAGCAGTGAGTATCAGGCCAAGTTAGTAACTACCTATATTTCAATTTCAATAATTCTGCACGAACGAGCTTAATTTTCTCTATTACCATTTATTCTCTGCTTTTTTTGGTCATTAATACTATTAGCAGATTATTAAGAGTTTCCGCAGAAATTTGTCTCCTCCGGTGAAGTAAAGTACATGTAATTATAAAGATTTTTCCAAGTTATACAAATCACATAAGGCAGATAAAGAAATAAAAATCGTTATAACTTTTCGTTTACGTTGATTTTGCAGCGTGACAGTATAATGACAAGTGCAAAAGAACCATGTCATGAAGTTTTTCTGATAATCAATAATAAATCTTAACCTTCATAGGAAACAGTAATGAGTATCCTAATGTAACTTCAGTGTTCTTACAAAAAATATACCTGACAAATTTTGGAAATATATTTATATTTAAAAATGCAACAGAAAATATCAGATAGGAAAGCGAACTTCAAAGTATAACACAAAGCGCTTTCTTCGTGTGAAATTGCTTATAAGTGTTGAAATCCAGTATTTACTGGCATATTTCCATAAATGTTTTCATACAAAACTCTAGAGGTGAAAATTATTCGAATAATTTAATTTCTGAAAGATGCGGTTACAGTAAGAGCATAAAAATATAGCCATAGATAAACTGCTGGTAGCTATCACAGTATTATGTATTTAAAAGAAACCTACATTCCCATAAGATTACCTGGTAACATTAACATCATTAATATTTAATAAGAAGTCTTCTTTCTTGTTTCTTGCAGCTTAACTCTAGTATTCTTATTTTAACTCACCGCTATTCCCTCGGTCTCAAATTATTCAATGCTGTTTTAACTATCTGTGCGGTCTGTTACACCTTGAAAGTCGTCGACATCGTCACGTTATCATCTTCTTAGTCATTGTTCAGTCTCTTTTCCCAAGTTAAGTGATCTTCAGCATAATCATGAGCATTAGATATCTCCGTTTTCTTGAAGCTCAGAAAATCAACTAGCAAGACGCAAACAATCACTAAGTGGTCAAATCATTTTTAACATTTAGTGGAGTTCGTTTTCTGAACATTTTGAGTAAGGGAAAAACTACGCGAATATTAAAAAACATATTCATAGCATTCTGCTAAAATGCTAAAAGAAAAACACGCGAGGAGAGGAATTATGCGAGTAAATACGGTACTACGGAGTTTGTTAATCTAAGAGTTAAAATATCAAGTAGAGTAGTAATATAGTGTTTAGATTTAGGATAAGCTAATGTAGTAGCGATATTATTAATTTAATTTATGAAATATGGAAATACTGCGGTTAAATATCTTAACCTTAATGCATATTGCTTATCTCAACATCGAGTTCCGCTACCTTACCTCATTTTTATTACTGTATTCTTTGTCAGCCTAATTAACAACACAAAACATCAGCTCATTCCAAGGACATCATGGACACTTTCACAATAAGATAAGACGTGTTGATTAGGAGTTATAACTAGCCAGCAGTTTGATGTTCTGCACTTGATCCATAAGCCAAGAAAATGCAATATGCAATTTGTCTCGGCTTTCTTTGTGATGTTACTTACAAATAATGAATAAAACATGCACTGCATAGAGAAATCGATATTTATTGAAAACATTCACTATGGCGTCGCCGGGAATCGAATACGGGTTTTCAAATTATCTGGTTGATATCCTGGCCACTATATCATAAGGGTATTAATTCTTACAATGTTAAGTCAACATAGCTATTCTTAAAAAAGCTGTTTATTTCTGTTCTGAATGTTTTGCATTATTTTTTCCTCTTGCTTTATTTCCGATGCATCCACGTAAATTCTCAAATTTTGAAGTCTACTAAGTTCATGCTTAGTATAAGAACCGTATTACTGTCTTAATAAAGCAGTTTAAAAAAATCTGATGTGTACACCACTTGACTTACTTGTACGGAATATTAAATTATACGCATATTTTCCTGCATATCATTTAAACTTTTCGAATTCTACTTCGTCGATAGCGCATAAACCACGATAGAATAAATGCACTCTAAAATTCACTATGTTTATTTACCATAGCGACTCTCTGGAGCTAGGTTCACTTAACAGCGTTACATTTCATTCATTTTATAACTCAAAATGCACAAAAATTATATCATCTGAAGAATTATCTAATTATTGCTACATGTTCTATCCAAATACTATAATAAATCTAAAATAATATATCAAGAAATTAACCAAATAAAAAAGAAACAGTTTTTCACAGACGATTCAGAGTCGATTACCTAATGCGTACTCGTAAACATTCTCTTCTGTCCGAATCAGACTGGCGACAATATTTGCTGCTAATACGCAGCACTTGTTTTCCTCAATTTCGTTAAATATATATTTCTCATTCAATTAATTCAGTACTACTTCGCAGCAAGGCAAAACTCAAAATATCTTCATTTAAAATTGAAAGACATATAAAAACATAAAATACAAAAAATAGTTTAAGCAATTAAAAACGATTTTACAATTAAAATTAATTTCTGCGTAAAAACAAGAAGTTCGGCCAGCAGGCAAAAAGACGAATTTGTCGGTGCACAAAACTAAAAGTTTCCTTTTGGTCCTACGCGGCCGAAAGAGACTGAAGGCGTAGAAACTGGCTTAATTTGCTGTGACTTGATTTGCTGGAAAAAGCGTCTATTGAAAGAATAGCGTCGGTATAGAAAACTGTCTACACAAGAGAAAGGTGTGTATTTAATTATCGCAAAGCACACTAGGGCTATCTGCTTAAGGGGAGGGATGCCTTCGTGGAGGACTTTCTAAGGGAAACTGGCTCGTATACACGTTACACATGGGGAAAACCACGAAAACGCCCATGCAGCCAGCCCGTTCGCGGGATTCGAACCTCGGACCGAACTACCAGTGTTCAGCGACTTTACCACTCGGCCGCTGGTGGGCCAAGAGAAAGGACAATAAACCAAGCAGCCTTAGTAAGTGGTTAACTTCCCCCAACATCAATTGTTGCTTTCCCCTAAGTGCATCATCTGTCGATACTTAACACCAAATTATCTAACAGTCTTAAAAGAGCTCTTATTCTGTAAGGAGCACCTGTTTCAGACATCCATTGCTCCCCGGAATGTAAGATCATGCCGCCAGGTGTCTGCCTAAAGTATCACGCACATGTTTAATGGTATTTTAAAAATGGGAGCACGCTGACCAATGCATTTTGTGTATATCTTCACTTTCCAAAATGTCCTCAACAGTGAGCTCTGTATAGCCGTGCATAACTATTCATAAAAACAAAGTCGGGACCAGTGGCACCCCGGAAAAGATGCACCTGGGAAAGGATAACTTTGCCATAGTAACAATCTTCGTAAGTGAATCTCTGTAGAAAATATGGGGCTTCTTTCGTTCGTTCATCATAATGTCCCCACATAAGCATAACCACTCCAACGATCTCTTTTGATGTTAGTGGGGTGAAAGCGTGTCCTAATATCAACAGGCGCCGAGAATCGTTTGTCAGATTGAAACGATTTTCATCGGTAAAGAGGACGTGATTCCATGGATGACGTGCTTGTCTTCGTTTTCTCTACACTATTATATACGATGCCGCCGATAGGCTGTTGCCAGTTGTATGCAGCGCTTAGCCTGGCAGGTGAATAGGCCACCTTTATGAAGTCCTCCGGTTGTCTGGCCACATCTCAGAGGCGCAGTTTGGCTTCAGGGAGAACCGTTCCACTCTTAACGCTCTTGACATTGTTAAAGATGAAGTTCAAAAGATCAAAGAAGATAACCAGCATGCTGCCGTCCTCATGCGCAGGACCAGATCTCTGAAATCTCACATTTAACTCCATACTGAATGCGCGTTGGCCGTCGCATACAAAGACAGCCTTTGCAGATGATGTCACTTTCATCGTTCGAGACCACAGCAGGGACGAATTGGAGAAAAACTGCAGCGAGGTTATCTCGCTCTTTGACAACCTCTGCACTGAAAAATATCACAGGATAAATCAAAATACATTATATTTCACAAGCCTAAACAAACTATCATAAGGAACCCGTGC